ATATTAATACTAATACTGATACTGATACTAATACTAATACTAATAATAATATTAATACTAATACTGATACTAATACTAATACTGATACTAATACTAATACTAATACTAATACTAATACTAATACTAATACTAATACTAATACTAATACTAATACTAATACTAATACTAATACTAACTAATACTAACACTAATACTAATATTACTAATTAATTTATTCATTTTTATTAATTATTTATTAATATTAATTAACTTTATCTCTTCCTGTATTTTTTCATATTTGTATTTAAAAAATTTATTTTTGCAAAAAAAAAACAACAATAAAGTATTGTTATTGAAATTGTTTAGAAAGTTATCGTACATTATTCGTAACAAAGTACGCATTATAAAGTTTTCAATGAAAAAACAAGAAAATAGCATATATATCTATACAATAAAAGAAATATAAACTTTTAAATCGATAACAAAGTCTAATGACACGAATTGACAAACCCGAGAAAGTTTATTGACATTACAGTGCATAAGAATCTTGAAGTAAATAGTTTAGTTTTCTATAGGCAAAAGTTGTTTTTTCTTTGAGAGTCGCCTTTGCTGTTATTTATCATTCTCAAGCTTGGTATATATAAATTCGTTATAAGTGAATTATAAATGATTTATAATTACATATCATATGTGATTATATTTTAATTTAGAAACGTTTATTCTTAAAAAAAGTTAACTAAAAAAAAAAAAAAAAAAAAAATACATGATGAGAAATTGAGGGTTGGTTATAAATTCTTGACCTGTAATTGATAGGTTTTCTTGGCCTGAAAACAGTGTATGATAGACGATGCTACTTAATGATTTAGACCCGTTCTAAGAACGAGAGAGAGAGAGAGAGAGAGAGAGAGAGTAGAAAGAAGGGTCGATACAGCAAAAGCTGCATTCAAAGCGCTATAGAGATAAGTTATTTACGTCTAACCGCATATCTTTCCCTGTGATTACCCAGTTTGAATTATTGACATCTGTCAGTCAAAGACGACGTACTTCCGATTGCAAATGTCTTTTACTATTTATTCCGCTATTTTCTTGAGAATTTTATGAATCGTAATCCCCGGTAGATATATATATTTATACAAAAGAAAACCATTCAATATTTCATTAAACAAATGTTATATCCAAAGACATGAAAAATAATTATTAAAATTTTATACTGATACATTGGGGAAAAAAAAATTTATTTAATTCAAATAATTAATTACTTAATTCAAATAAATTGTTTTTTCATACCAAAAAAAAAAAATCATTGCATTTAATCAAATAACACAATTAATAATAAAGCAATAATAATTATATACTTTTTAATATTTACCTTATTTTTTATATAATTAAAATAATTATATTTATTATTATTATTATTATTATTATTATTATTGTTGTTATTAAAATTTAAAGGGCGAGGGAAAATTTAATTATAAGTAGAAAAAGACATAATCTAGTCAGAAAATTATTCTTGATTAGAAAAAAGGCGTTGAGGATAATCAAATTTAATTTTCAGTAGAAAAGGCATTTATAGTCAGACAAAACGTTATAAAAATAGGAAAAAATTCTTGAGTATTAGAAGAAACGGTGAAATAATTTTTTTTTTAGTTAATTAAGTGGAAAAAGCCATGTTAGTAAGACAAAATCTTACTGATTAGAAAAAAGACGTGGAAAATGGTAAAATTTAATTTTAAGTAGAAAAGGCCTGTTTAGTCAGACGGCGATATTAGAGAAAAAACGTTTCTAAGGATGCAAATTTTCAACAGCTTTAAGGGTAGAAAAAGTAAAGCTAGTCAGACAATTTTTTTTTATAATTAGAAAGAAAAGCGTTGCCAAAATTTAATTTTAAGTGGAAAAATACAGTCGAGTCAGAAAAATTTTACTGATTTAGAAAAAAAACGTATAAAAATAGTTTTAAGTAGAAAAAAACGTTATTAATCAGACAATTACAGTTCATTAGAAAAAAAAGGTGTGTAGAAATTTTTTTTAAAAGAGAACTAAGTAGAAAAAGCCACATTAGTCAGACAAATCGTATCAAGAATAAAAGGCGTTATTAAATAACAAATAAAATTCAATTTAAGTAGAACAAGTCAATATAAATCAGACAAATTCTACTTATTACTGAAAAAAATAAGTCTCGCTGAATAGTAGATTTTTGTCAAAGAAAGAAAATCTGTAAATCAGTTTTTTTTTCTTCAAAACTGCTTTTTTTATAATAATACTTCATTAATATTTAATATAATTTTTTGCAACCGGTTTACATATTATTAAATCCTTTTCAATAAATCTTTGATATAATATCAATTATTCGTAAGAATATTTAAATATAATAATTAATAGGAAATAAATTATGCATATTATTCATATATGCACATTATATATATATATATTTGGAAAATTATAAACATATCATTTACATGAATATTTAAATGATGCAGAGAAAATTAAGATAATTAGAAATGATTAAGTAATAATTAATTACATATTAAAAATAGTATTATAATTTAAAAATTATTATAAAAAAAAATTATGTAAAAATTATTTCTATTTAAAAATATTATTTAAAAATATTATTGAAAAATATTATTTAAAAATATTATTTAAAAATAAATCAAATTAAAAAAAAAATCTATCAAAATTTTTTTTCACTCGTTTAATAGTTGATTATTATTTTTATGTTACCAAAAATGGCCTCCCTTTTCATATCGAAACAATGGAAATAAAAAAAAAAGTCTTTAACAAACTATTGTTGTTTTGTGGCAATGAAATGATTGTAAATGTTGTCTATATATATTGTATTATATATGGTATTTGTATTCGCGTATTTCTGATTATTGTTCACCATTTCACAACTTTACAGGCAATGAGGCAATAACCAAACGCTACTGTTGGTTTATGATCGTATATATATATATTTATATATTGCAGTCCAGCTCGTCACACGTCGAATCGCCAGGTGCCATGGGGGAATTTTCAGAGTCTTGTTTTACGATCTATATACAGTTTCCCTTTTGTCTGGCAGTACTCAGAAAACTTGACATGTATAGAACTTTTGTTCTCTTTCGCGTCTGAATATTTTTTGGTAAAAAAAACCCCCTTTTTTAAAAAATATAAATTCCACTCATTATTATTTGAATCGACTTTTTTTCTTTTCTAAAGAAAAACAAATTTACATCAATCCTCGCATTGTATTGAGAAAAAAATATTTTTGTTTGACAATTTTTTTTTACTATATAAATCACGATTTAAAATTTTAATAAAAATACGTTAACACAGAAAATTTTAAGGTATTAAAATAAGCTGCAACGCTTATTATTTTAATCCAATTTTGCTTATTTTAATGCCAAAATGGATTAAAATAAGCAAAATTGGATTAAAATAATAGTTGCAGCTTATTTTAATGCCTTTTAATTTTCTGTGAATTTAAAAGTATCAAATTGATATAAAAATTTGTATCAATTTTGGTATTTTTAGTATAAAGATACTTTTAAATTAGTATGAAGTGACAGAATTTCAATATTTCGAACCAAATTTAGCAAAATAATGTTTAATTTTCCCAATGAACACTGTAAAACAAGAGTTATTAATTTAGTATCGACTTTAGATAATAAATTGTCATTTGGTTCTATTTTGATACCTTAAATCGGTACTATTTTAGTACTTTCTTTTTACAGTGAATAATAAATAAATTTAAATTTATAAATCGATTAAAGGACATATTTATCGAGAATGCAATTTATTAAAAGTCGCATATTATGTACCGAAAGTTATTTTTACACACAGACTATAGTTTCTATTATTACAGAGTTGATAATATGTGTAGCTATATATAAATCCTAGACTCTATTCTAGAATCACTAAAAGGCGTTATTAACCTCAATATTACAGAAAAAAAAAGAAAATTATTTATTAGCAAATTTTTTCTATTGAAAAAAATTGAATAAAAAATTTTTTTTTTAAAGTTATATAAAAATAAATTAGTCATAATTTACTTTTGAAGATTTCAAAATATTTTTTGATTACGTCACAAATTATATATATGTTTATCGCTCGCGACATAGATAATAAACTTTTTTATTTTCCTACTTGTAATTTAATGACGTGTTATGATAATATTTTTTATGTAAATAATATTGTCGTAATTTTTTAAACTATAATTTGAATATTTACTTATTTTTATACCAAATTGCAGTTAAATAAGGGGAAATAATAAATTTCGTTAAAAAGTTTTCAAGACTAAGTTTTTCTTTTTTTTTTTTTTGCAAATAAAAAATTTATAAGTGGTACAATTAAAAATAAGAGCAAACTTATTTATAGGGGTGGAAAAATTGACATGCATTTATATGTGAAGAAAATTGGAACATTTATAAATAAGTGTGTAAAGAAATAAATTCTAAATACCAAAAGACAAGAATAGAATGTTTTATACTTAGAATCATTTATCTTATTATAATATCGATTTCAAACTCTATAGAGAGAGAGAAAATGGTATACATAAGAATAAATCGTATTTATTAAAACTTTGTTATATGTCACATATATAAATATAGAATTATTACTGAGTGAGAATTATTTATTTTAAAATATATCGAATATTTATTTCAAATTGAAATAATTATTAAAAAAAATTTTCTATATTTTAAAAAATAAAATTTAAAATAAAAAAAAATATTTTATTTATATAAAAATTATTTGATGAAAAAATATTTAATATAATATTTAAGGAAAAAGTATTCTTTTTTTTAATTTGATTTAGAAAGTATTTTAATTTAAGTGAAAAGATAAATGCTTATCAATTTTATTTGAATTTTGTACTGTTTAAAGTGGATGATGTAAAAAAATTTTTCGATAATCAATTGATACTGGTTTTAGTGATAAGATTTTCAAAGTGTTGCAAATTTTTTTCCTTGACAAAAAAAAATAATAATAAAATTGTTGAGAATTAAACTTGCAGGATAATAATTAAACAAATAAAATCGTAATTCGGGTTTAATTTTATTTTATTATTATTTTCTTTTTTTTTGGAATTCTCTAAAATTCTAAAATCACAATTTTCAAAAATAATAATATTTTATATGTACATCTTTATTTTTAATTAGTTCTCTTTTTATTGAAAATTAATTTGCATACACTTGAACGAGAAAATGAATTCCATGACCACGTTGACTTTTGAATCTAAGTGTAACGTTTGTTTTTCCCACACCTCCTTTTTCTAATGTAACATAGGCTCCAGTTCCATCTGTTTTTTGATCGTAGGCAGCAAGTTGTGTTATATTTTTATGATTTTGAACAATAAATGTAGCACGTTGTGTGACAACTTGAAACGTTTTTGCTGGTACAGTTAAATTTTTTTGTATTACAAGTCGATCACCAGGTCGTCTTGTTCCAATAATGAAATTATGTGAAATATTTTTTCCACGATTATAATTACTTCTGCCTGTTATTGGTGAAACATTTGTAATTAACACTATCGCTGTCGCGAATAAAAGAACAAAAATAATTTTCTCGTAAGCCATATTATTGTTCTTATTTTTTAAAAATTAAATTCGAAAACTAATTAAAAAAATATTTTAATATTAAAAAAAAATAGATTTTGTCTTTTTTGGACGTGTGCTCTTTTATCTAAAATCGTTTAAAGACTGTTGTAAATTGATGAGCGCAAATGGCTTTTATGTAGGTCTCGCACGACAATTGGGGCTTATCAATTTTTTTATTTTAACATTAAATCGTCAGACATAAAGTGCTTCTACTAACTTTATTTTTTCTACATAAATTTATGAGTCACCTTTCGATGACACATTTGATTTGTATGATAAGATTTTCAATAATTATCGTTAAAATTGATTTAAAATCATTTTTTTTTTTATATTATGAATGTTTTTTTAGTTAACACATTATAAAAATATTTATGACGGAATTTTTTTTTGAATTATTATTATTATTATCGTTGTTGTATTAATATTACTATTTTTATTAATATTATTATTATTATTATTATTATTATTATTATTATTATTATTAATTTTTATAATCTATTTTTGTATTAATTGAAAAAAATTGATGTTTCGAATTTTAATAAAAATTAATAATAATCTTATCCAGTTTTCAATATTCGATATTGTAGTTTATTTACGAACTTAGTGAATAATTATTAAATAAAGGAAATTTAATTTTATTCCATGTAAGATATTTTATTAAATAATAAATATATTTATAATGTTATAAAATTGTAATATTTATTTGGTAAATTTTTCGAATGCTTTAAAAATAAATCGATTTTTCAAATGAAAATTAAGTTAAATTATATTTAAATGGAATATATATCAGTATTATAATGTTTTAATACCTTGATATAATTAGTGAAAAAGTATTTTCTTTTTAAATTGTTTTTTAATTAGATTTTACTCATAACTGTAAAATGTCAAAAAGTAAATTTAATAATCATTTAAAAAATATTTTTTTATTATTATTGTTTATTTATTTAATTTAAATTTATTATTTAAATAAAAAAATTAAATATTTAGATAAATACTAATATAAATAATTTAAATAATAATATAAAAAAGTAAACTTGGTATAATTAATTAAAATACGAAAAAACGGTTAATAAATTTTTTTTTGATTTTCTACTACAACAATTAAAATGATTCTGGCAAGAATTTTTTAGAATCCACAGGGAATGTAAAAATAATAAATTGTTATTAATTTTTAATTATTTATTATTTTAAATTATTAATTATTAATTTAATAAATTTTCACTTTTAAAACGTGCTTATAATATTGTCTATCAATAATACATAAAATTTTTTTAAAAATAATTATCGTGGTTAATTAATTTGATTAATTTTATTTTAATTAATTAATATAATTTATTTATTAATTTTATTTTAATTAATTAATATAATTAATTTGATTAAATTATTTTAATTAATTAATTTGATTAAATTATGTTAATTAATTAATTTGATTAAATTATTTTAATTAATTAATTTAATCAAATTTCATGTAAAAAAAAATTGATTTTCAATAATAATTTCTGCGTCCATAAATTTTAACAACAAAATTAATGCCATGTCCACGTTGTGATTTAAAACGAAGTTTAACATTTTGTGATCCTGGTCCTCCATTAGTAAGTGATGCATAAGCACCATTTCCATTGGTTTTTTGATCCAAAGCCTCAACTAGTGTAATAATTGAATATGTTGGCATATTAAATGTTTCTTCAACAATGACTTTTCTAAGCCATTTGGATTCCTTGACAATATTCTTTTGAAATAATAATTCATCACCGGGTGCTCTTGATCCAACTCTTAAATTATGAGTTTTATTTTCTGCCTCTCTCACATAACGATTATTATGCTCATTTGGCATACCATATGAATTCATTGCCAATGCAACAATAAATGTTGCAACAATGAAAATATATTTTTTTCCTTCCATTGTTTTTTTTTTAAATTTCTCTTCCAAAAAAATCCTGTAAAATTAATTTATTTTATTTCTTTATTTTTTCTCTATGTAATTTTCTGGCGAAATTTTATTAATAATATTGTTTTTTGGCTTACAGTTTTTTTTTGTTGGTTTTTGTGAAAGACGAAATTTCCTGTTGATTCTTCTTCTTTTGATGAGTAGTTAACACTTAATGAAACAAAGTCTGTTTAGTGAGTGTCTTTTTATTTGAACACTTTCAAAAAAAAACACATTATCTTTATCTGATCAGTCGATTTGTCTTCGTAATAGATTTATTATTAGTGGAGAGGGAAAAACCTTCTTCATATGGTAATTATTTCAAAGAAATGACTAATTTTTATAATAAAAAAAAAAATGATTCATGTGTCATTTTTTTTTAATTTTTTTAACAACAAATGATTTCACAATTTTAAGGTGTTAATAAAGATAATTTTTTTTTATCAAAACTGATACATTTATAATTTAGTACACAATAATTAGATAGTATAATTGTTTTTTACGGTTTTTTTCCATTTATTAAAATTTTAAATAGATAACAAACTATATCTATATCTGTTGAATAAATTAAAAATAATTTTTAAAAATTGTAGGAATACTATAAAGTTTTTTTTTTTTATTTAATTATTCAAATTTATAATTTATAAATTTTTATTATACATAATTGATTAAAATAATAAAAATTATTATTAATTTTCTAATTAGGATAATTAATACGAAATCTTAAACATTTTTTAAAAAGTAAAAATTAGCCATTTTTTTTTTGGAAAAATTAGCGTCCAAATAGTTCAACAACAAAGTCGATACCAAATCCTCGTTGTGATATGAATTTCAATAGTACATATTGAAATCCAAGACCTCCGGAAATAATGAAAGCATAAGCACCAGTTCCATCGCTTTTTTGATCATAAGCGGCAATTTTTGTGATTTTATAATTATTATATAAAGTAATATTTTTCTCAAAAGTAATTATTTTAATTAATTCAGGAACTATATAAATATAATCTCTTGTCATATCGCTATCACCTGGTATTCTCGAGCCAACAATTAAATGATGTGATTGATTTCCTCTTACTCCAAAATTTGACAATGTCACAATAAATGTTAAAAGAAGAGAAATTTTTTTCATCTCCATTGCTTTTATTTTTAAATTCAATTCTTCACAATATTTAAAATTTTTTTTAAATTTTTAAATAATTTAAATGATTTTAAAAAACGAATGTAACTAATTAATTTCTCATACAATAATGAAATGCGACTTTCGTTTTAAAAATCTTTTTTATAATGCATCTTATCTTTATTTTATTCACAAGTTTTTTATTTGCGAAACATAAAACAAAACAGGAAAGTCTCTCAAATAATAAAAAGTGAATATTTTATTGCGAAAAAAAAAATTGTTTTCCCTAATTATTAAAAAAAAACAAAATTTGCTAATTATAATTGATAATTAATGTAAAAAAAAATTATAATTTTTAATAAATTTCTACTGTCTTTATTAACAAATAAATAATAATTTATTTATAATAATTTCATTAACAGAAAATATTTACAAATAATTTTAGTTTTATACAAAAAAAAAAAACTGCTTTTCTATTTTTTTTTTAATGCAGAAAAAATTAACGTCCATAAAGTTCAACAATAAAATTAATTCCATGTCCTCGTTGTGATTTAAATTTCAATCTAACCATTTGATTTCCAGGACCACCATTAAGAAGTGAGGCATAGGCACCATTTCCATTTGTTTTTTGATCATATGCAGCAACTTGTGTTATTCTTTCATAACGTGTGACATTAAATGTTTTTTCCACAATTACAACTTTCATCCAACTGGAATTTTTCACAACATTTTGCTTTAAAAGTAATCTATCGCCTGGTAAACGTGCTCCAACAATTAAATGATGGGATTTATTTACTGCTCTTGCATATCGATTATTATGCTCCTTTGGAATTGCATATGAACTCAATGATAATGCAACAATAAATGTTAAAATAAAGAAAATATTTCTTTTCAATTCCATATTTGCACTTTTTTGGTTTCCTTTTTTATGTTTTGTAACAAAATTTTTTTTATTTTGTTGAAAAAAATAATTTATAATAAAAAATTCTTTCACTGTTTCTGTTAGCGTAATTAACACTTGACTAAGTTGAAAATGTGTAAAATGAGTGCACTTATATTTTACTGATTACTTATCGGATCTTATCTGATACTAGATTCTTCGGAAAAACGCATTACTAAAAGTCATACTTTTTTTTATAAAAGTGTATAGATAAAAAAAATAAAAAAAAAAATAGTAATAAAGAAATACTTCGATAATCTGATAATTAGGTAAATTCCAATAGTTTTCTGCAAAATTTTCTTCCAATTAGAAAACTACTCTGACGCAATTGTTAAAAATTCGAAAAAAAAGTATTTTTAATTTATTCTTAATTTTATCTAATTAAAAAAAAAAAAATTACAAAAATCCCCCTTAAAAAAGAACCATGATAGTTTTTTCAATATATTCTAAATTTATATAAAAAAAAAATATAAATGATCTCATTCGAATAATTACTAGTCACCAGGTGTACTGATAAAAAAAAATTTCCTCATTCATTCTTTGTGTGTGTGTAAGTACAGGATAAATATACATTTAAGAAATTTGTCGACAATTCTCGAAACAGTGTTATTTTTATGATAATGAAATATTCATTATTACTTAATAAAATTTATATCATTTCTAAAAAAAAATTATCAATTCCGCAAATAATTGTAAATTCGGTAGCATGATTATCATATTATGATATTTTCAGTGAATCATAATAAAATATTAATCATTTTTGTTATAACTGAAAATAAATCTGACGAAATATGTACGTCATCAAAATTTCATAAATAATAAATAAAGAAATTATATTAATTATTAATATAATTATTATTGATTTTCTATAATATGAAAAAGGAGAAAATAAAATTCTTATAATTAAATTTAAAAATGTCACGTTCTATATTTTCAAAAGATTTGAATATTTTCATAAAACATGGAATAATAATTATTATTATTATTAATAGTTTAATAATAAAATATAAAAACTCGAAGTTCATCATATATATATAGGCTATGTTTGTGAACGCCTGATACTAGCTTGTTAAAAGCTATCATAATACACGCGGAGAACTACTTAACCCACAAACTTCTAAGTGCTTTCACTTTATAAAGGGTCTCGCATTCGCCACATTTTGGCCCAATGCAAATTACATTCAATAAGACATTCTTATTTCCATTTGAACGACAACGCAATTTTCATCTCGAGACCTCTAATGACTTCACTTATTATATTCTTTTCAGTATAAAAAAAAAAAAAATAATAAATTTCTATCAAAAATATTAGTATTTTTTCTAACTTACCAAATAGAAGAGCGACTTTTTTTCCAAAAAGATGTCGACATCCTTACCTGAAAAATAAAAACAATCATCTAATTAATAAAATAATAAAATTAATTATGGTAACAATGAAATTTTAATTATTATATAAAAAAACTAAAAAAAAAATTAATGAGAATAATAATAATAATAATAATAACAAAAATAGTAATAACAACAATAATAATACAAATAATAATAATAATAATAAAATTTTATATTATTTATCGAACAATAATAGTCACTATTTAATTTTTCAACTTTTTCAATATTTGACAAATGGAGTAAAAAATTAAAAATTCCAAAATCAACGTTGTCTTACCAAAACACACTATTTCTACTGTGGAAATATTTTCCAAGTTCTTTGAGTTCGAACCATTTTGGATTTTAAAGTAAAGATACTCTCATCGTTTTTCGTTTTCTTTTTTTTTTTTTTTTTTTTTTATTATTTAATTATTAAAACACGAATAATAATTCTAACAATTTACAGAACTCTCGTATTAAAACGCAAGCATCGTGGTTTCATTAAACGAAATGAAGAGGGTGCATAGTGAATTTAAGCTTTCATAGTTTATTAACTATTTCTACGTATCCGCGTGCAGTTTAATTAAAATAGAGCTTACATATAAAATTACTGTAGCTCATCAGAAAGACGAGCTTCCTTTATCTATATAATTTTCAATTCTCGTTTGTTCATTAATAATAATAATACAAATAATAATTATTGTTATTATTATTATTTTTTATTATTATTATTATTATTATTATTATTATTATTATTATTATTATTATTTTATTATTACATAATAATTCTTTTTTTTATATTATTTAACTTATTAATATTCTTTATATTTAAAAAATTTATAACAAAATTAAAATTAAATGAATAATTATAAAATTATGTTAAATAAAGGAAAAATTGAAAAATTCAAATAAGATAAAAATGAGAAAAAGAAATAAAATATTAATTATAATAAATATTAAATATTGATATAGAACTGAATGAATTAAAATGTGAATAAATAAAAGAGATCTAAAAGGGATTTTTTTTTAAATTTAACAGAATTAAAAATTTAAGAATTTCAAAAACGTGCAAGTAAGGAATTAAACAAATTTTAAGAAGAATAGTGATAAATTTTTAATGGCGAAAAAAATGAAGGAATCAAAAAAGAGCAACGAGCAAAAAGAATCTAAAAAATATTCAATTTAAAAATTATAAAAGAATACTCTCTAAATCTGAATTAGTAAAAATGTTTACTAATTTAAATTAGTAATTCACTTTTTGCTTTAGAATTAGTTAAATTTTACTAATTGTTAGTAAAAGTTACTTATAATTAGTAAAATTTTACTAATTGAGAAGCAAAAAGTGAGTCACTAATTCAAATTAGTAATCTTTTTTACTAATTCAGATTTAGAGAGTATTTATGGAAATTTGAAAAAATAGAGTAAATTAAGACAAAAATATTGCGAAAAATATATTTAAAAAAAAAATAAATAAACTTCATATACGCCTTTTGGCTTGATTAATCGAAATAATATTTAATAACTAAACGTATATATATATATATATATGTATTGTATATATACTAGTATATATAAAGTGTGTAACATAAAACAAGAAATTGATTAGTTCATAGAAAAACTTTTTCCGTAAATTTTTACAGCGATTGCAACGTGGTTGTAAACTCCATAGGTCGTAACTTTTCTCCAATATTAGTCCATGCAGATTGGCGGTTTACAATAATTCTCTGTATAGATGCATCAAGAATTATACGATCAATTTTTTTCTCTCTTTTCTTTTTTTTTTTATTAAACTCCCCTACTACATTATTATTTAATAATGTTGAATTTTATGTTCTCTCGCGCAGTTTATAGGGTATATTTTTAGAATTTCTAAAAATTATAACATAAAAAATTACTATTACCAAATTACTGTTTTTAAATTTCTACTATTAAATTATCTTAATTATTATAAAATTAAATTTAATAACTTAAAAAAATTTAAAATTTTTAAATTTAATTTGAAAAAAAATTATTTACAGTCCATAATTTGGCAAATCTTTTTTTTTTTTAGTAATTTGTTTTTGTCAATAATAAACCTGTCAAATTTTTGTTGTTCAATGCGTTTTTAGTATACGTCCATTATATTCGTAAACAAAAGAATAACAGTTATTATTATATGCGTTCACTTAAAACAATGTCCATATATCATATTAAATGAGTGACGTATTTTGAAAAAAAAAAATATATATATATATATATGTAACAAAAAGGATTAATATAATGAAGTGTTGGACAGTAAAAACAAATTTAAGAATAGTATTTTTCCAATTAAGTTGAATGATGGATGATCCCTCGTAAAATCATCTTTCTCACTCTCCTGACCGTCCACTCTTCCGGAAGAGAGAGTTGAGAGTTAAAGGTAAGCAAACTTGAAATAGCCGGGGCGGAAGGTATAGAAAGCAGGAGCTACAATTAGGAAACGTTTGTCCGTTTGAGTTTACTAAAGGATCTCTAACTAGCTTAAGCAATCTATCTGTTTACAACTGTCTTATATATTTGATATAATTATTTCAATTTGGAATAATGTTTATACATATATTTAAACATTTTTTTTTTCATTCGATGATAAAAATTATTTTTTACTAAGAAAAAAAATTTTATATTTTCTAAAAGAAATATTTTTTTATTCTAGAAAAAGAAATATTTTTTGTCGAACTACTGATTTATATATATTTATTTATATTTATATATTTAATTAAATTACTGATTTATACAAAAATTACAAAATCAACAAAGTTTTGTCTGACTAAAACTGACTTTTACTACTGATGGTAAAAAAATTTCTAGTGGAAAATAATTAATACTACTGAAATAAAAATTATAATTTTTTTTTGAACTAAAATATTTTGCCTGACTGCAATTTACTTTTACTACTGCGTGAAAAAAATTTATTGTCTGACTAAAACGGTTTTAAACTACTGATAATAAAACTGATCGGAAACATTTTGTCTGACTACAGAGACTTTTACTACTTTAAGCAAAATTTTGTCTGGTCGAAATAATACTGATAAAAAAAATTACAAAAATTCAGCAAAGTTTTGTCCAACTAAAACTGACTTTTACTACTGATGGTAAAAAATTTTCTGGTGGAAAATAACTAATACTACTAAAATAAAAATAATATAATTTTTTTTTTAACTAAAATATTTTGTCTGACTGCAATTTACTTTTACTACTGCGTGAAAAAAATTTATTGTCTGACTAAAACGGATTTAAACTACTGATAAAAAAATTACAAAAATTCAGCAAAGTTTTGTCTAACTAAAACTGGCTTTTACTTCTGAGGGCGAAATTTTTTCTAAACGAAAAATAATAATATTATACTGAAATAAAAATAATTTTTTGGGCCCTTTTGTTTTAAAATTAAAAAAAGTTTCTGTCTGACTATAATTTACTTATACTACTGCGTAGAAAAAAAATTTGTCTGACTAAAATGGATTCATACTACTGAGAATAAAATTACTAAAACGGATTTATGATAAAAAAAGTTACAAGAATTCAGCAAAGTTTTGTCCAACTAAAACTGTCTTTTACTACTGAGGGCGAAATTTTTTCTTAACGAAAAATAATAATACTATACTGAAATAAAAATTATTATTTTTTGGGCCCTAAATTTGTTTTGAGATTAAAAAAAGTTTTTTTCTGACTGTAATTTACTTTTACTACTGCGTAGAAAAAAATCTGTCTGACTAAAACGGATTCATACTACTGAGAATAAAATTGCAAAATCAGCCAAATTTTGTCTGACTAAAACTGACTTTTACTACTAAAGGCAAAATTTTCTCTGAACGAAAAATAATATTACTGAAATGAAAATTATAATTTTTTTGAGATTGATTTGAGATTTTTAAAAAATTTTGTCTGACTTTAACTCACTTTTACTACTGATAAAAAATTTCTTGTCTGACTAAAACGGATTTATACTACTTGTACTAAAATTACAAGAATTCATCAAACGTATTTGGCTAAACAATCTTTCAAACTATTAAGAACATTTTGTCTGACCAAAAATGACCAACACTACTAATACAAAAAAAAATTATTTACAATACAAAACAGATGTAAAAAAATTTTTCTTTTTAATATTTAGTTTTTATAGAAAAAAAAAACGATTTTTCCCAACAATACGTAAGGACATAATTTTATAAATCATTGATGGATTAATTACATCAGTTCGCTAATATTACAGAAAGTTATTATCGACTAATCCTTTTGAATTCAATTTCAACTCGATCGAGACTTAAGCTTTTTCTCGGTTGTAATTTGTGGTCCCTGGCACTGATGATAAAATTAAGCTGTCCCCAGCGACTCTATATATATATATATATATATATATTGTTCATTGGCGTTGAAAAAGCAAGAAAACATCCTCACAAAGGATTCTGTGCGAATTCAATTCTCGAATGTAACTGAAAATTGACTGAAAATTGAGATCTAAAGACACTATGAAAAAAAAAAGAAAACTCTTTTTTTCACTCGACCAGTCATAGAACAAAAAATTTATTGAACTGCAATATTCGTTAAATTAAATTTATTGACATTTGTGTCGGGAGACAAAAGCAAAAACAATATATTATTAATTTATCATTCTTTTAATTTCAACGATATCGAAGAAAGAAACTATTCTACAAAAAAAACGAATATTTAATTTTTTTTTCCTTCTTTTTTCGTCCTACAATATTTTTCTTCCTCTTTATATATATAGAGAACCAGACGTCATTTATGGATAACCCCTCTTAATGGATGCAAAAAGCACAAGCGATCAAGGCGGGGCCAAACGGAAGAGGAAATTTTCCTTCTTCCTGATCAACCGGGTCTCCTTTTTATATGTATATATATATATATATATATCTATTGCTCAGTACTTTAGATAGACGATCAATCATCGTATAAAAAAAAATGCGTCGTTTTTTCTTTTTTAATGTAAAAACAACGCTTTTCATAAAAATATAATTTTTTAACAAATATTTTACTAAATATGACAATAAAGTTTGCGTTTTAGGATAATTAACGATGCCCATTTCTTCTCATTGGGAATGTGAAAGCATTTTCATTTTTGAATATCGTGTACACCTTAAAAAAAGTAATCTTCATTCTAGAGGATTCCTCTAAATGTAATGCATATTTTCCTCTTAATTTTGGTATCAAAAGTAATAATCTTAATTTAGAAGGATTTTCCTCTCGAAAAAATCCTCTTAAAGGAAGAATAATATTCTAATATTTTGACAAGTTGAAAATACACAGAAAATTAAAAGGCATTAAAATAAGCTGCAACGCTTCTTATTTTAATCCAATTTTGCTTATTTTAATACCAAAATGGATTAAAATAAGCAAAATTGGATTAAAATAAGAAGCGTTGCAGCTTATTTTAAGGCCTTTTAATTTTCTGTGTAACCGTAATACACAGGTTTTGAATAAATTATTAGACAATAATAATGGTTATGTATTGATAATAAAATACAGTTTTGACACATTGAATTAAATGTTGATATCAAAATCTCAACAAAAAAAATTCCTAGTGTTATTAATGTCAAGAGAACCAATAATTTTTTTAAATTTGAATAATATAATAAATATTTAATAAGATTTAATTATTTACATTCAAAAAAAGGTAAATTATAATAGATTCCTGGAATAAAGAATGAAATATGAATTAATAAATGAAGATTCATCGAGAGGTTATATTTTCTGTATTTATACCTCCATTCAATATATCCACCCAGATTTAAATCATTTAGTAAATCTTCGAGTCTCTTTTTCATTTTGGTCTTTCGATTTATAACACAACACTATTATATGACAAAATACGAAAATTGACAGTTTCGAAAAACAAAAGCGCAAATGTCAAAACAGGAAAAAAATGTAATCGATATCATGTATTTACTTTTCCTTTTTTCAAATATACTAAATTTCAACATTTAAATGCAAAATTACTCCTTTTGTCATTGTTCCATTACAACAAAAATATTCTACAGTGAAATGGAATATTCGTATTTTAAAAGAGGAAATATTCAGAGGATTTTAGAAGAGGAATTTTCCTCTAAATTTAAGATTACTTTTTTTTTGGGTGTGATATTAAACTAAATTTTGAATTGTCTGACTGAAACTATACTTCTTCTACTTGATACAATTCAACACACAAAAAACAAATACTGAATACTGAATCTTAAAATCAAAATGCCTTAAAACTAATGTAATTTTAATCTTAAAACTAGATTAAGTCAATTTTAGGGCTTAAAATCATACACTCAAGGCTGAAATTCAGTAAAAATGTTTCAAATGTTAACGGTTTTAGACAAAAGTGAACTGAAAGTAAGTATTATTTTTTAGTGAAAAAGTACCAAAATTTTTACTAAAAATTTATTTTAATTTTTCAACATTAAATTAATTTAAAATATTTTGTCTCGATACAACTATTTTTTTTTACTAATATATATTGTAATAAAATAAAAAATATGTCTGATTAAAACGGTCTTTTTCTACTTTTTTTTAAATAAAAGAAAATTTTTATTTTTTTTTACCAAAATTGTATTTTACTACTTTACTTTATTTTTATATTAGTAAAAAAAAAGAAAAAGTTTTTGTCTGACTACAAACTGTCTTTTTCTACTGATACATAAATAATTCTATTTTCCTATATGGAAATTAGTGAAGTGAAGAAAATTTGATTTAGTGTCAACACTAACATATAGTTAGGTGGAAAAAAATGATTTTTTTTTCGCTTCCCCCATTTTTTTTTTTTTTTTTCGACTGTGTCGAGCTTGAATTATCTTATCTAATATTGAGTCTGGCAGGAGAAGATATATCATTCAATATCGGTAGAAACTATCAATGGAGAAACCAAGGAGCCGTCCAAAGAGTTCTAACGATGATGTATCGTGGCAACTCAGGACCCTAAGTTGAAGGTACACTCTTTCTCGTCTGTCACGAGCAGCATCCCCCCCACATAAACCCCGCTGAGTTACGAACTCAAATGACTGCCCAGTCGTTCATCATATAACTCGCAAAACACACATCCTAGAAAAATTAATTCATCGATTTAAAAACTATCCCCAATTAATTCGCATAGCGAAATAGAATTTTTTTTAATTTACACTTCGCAATAAAAAAAAAAACTTTCTACTCTATATTTCAATTAGAATTCAATTAAATCATTCGAAATTGTACAGAAAATTTTATACTTTTGATTTTTATGGCAAATTTTAGTTTAATTTGAATAAAAAAATTTTAATTTAATTTGGATAGAAAATTTAAATTTAATTTGGATAGAAAATTTAAATTTACCATATGTAGGGTAAATTTTAATTTACTTTGTATAGCAAATTTTCATTTATAATTTGTATGGAAAATTTTATTTGCATAGCACATTTTAATTTAATTTGAATAACAAATTTTAATTTAATTAGGATAGAAAATTTAAATTTACCATATGAAGGGTAAATTTTAATTTACTTTGGATAGCAAATTTTCATTTATAATTTGTATGGAAAATTTTATTTACATAGAAAATTTTAATTTTAATTTGTATGGAAAATTTTATTTACATAGAAAATTTTAATTTTAATTTGTATGGAAAATTTTAATTTATAATTTGTATATAATATTTTCAAATTAATTTGTTAAAAAAATTTCCAAATTTAAATTGTAATTTTTAAATATTTAAAAAAATTAAATAAATTTTTCCCCTCAGCGCAATTGTCTTTTGTCTTTTAAGTGTCAAAGCAATATATTATATATTGTTTTCTTTATCCGTCATCTCAAAAATAATATATATATATATATATATCTATATAACCATTGAGATAAAAGTGGTTTATGTTGTCAACACACACACACACATATAGTATATACTTTGCAAAAAAAATATCGAGAACACTCTTGAAAAGTTTAAGTAACATTGTCTTTGTAACACAAAAGCGTTTTAAAAACGAGGACAAGTAAGTAATCGCATTCTCTTTCATTGAATGAATTTTTCTCAAGAAGAAAATATAAAGTATAATGAATCGATTTCATTTTCTTTTCATTAACACAAAAAAAAAGTGAAAGAAAGAAAAGAAAAGAAAGCATTTATATTTCCTTTTCATTTGAATTGTGATAAAGTAACTTTTTGCATAATGGGTTTTTTTCCTTTTAAAGAAGTGTTATAAAAATAAATATAAATATATAGGTTAAATTTCACATTTAATGACACATTTTACAATATTAGTTTTTTTTTGTAAATTGTGACATATTCAACTGTTATATATATTATAATATTATTAATTATATATAATTTTTTTTTATTTTCATTAATAGTATTATTATTAATATTATTATTAATAGTATTATTATTAATATTATTATTAATATTATTATTAATATAATTATTAATATTATTTTTTTTTGCTAATGTTTATTTGTTTTTCAATAATTTTCTACTTAATTATATTAATAATCCCAAATAATTTAAATAATTACATAAATTGATCACTAAATATTACAATTACCAAAAAATTTTAAGTAAATAAAATTATTTATTTATTTATTTACATATATACGGACAGTATCGTAATTAATTAATTATATGATTAATTAATGTTAATATAAATTAATTAATCATACTATTAATAAACATAATAATAATAATTATAATAAGTTATAATAATTTAAATATTCAATCTTTTGAATATTAGCTTAATGAAAAATATATCTAAATAACAAATTGATTGGATTTTCAATTAAATTAATTGATATTTTAACAAATTTGTATTTTTCTGACAATTTTAAACATGACGCGACATCTCTAATCATTTTGTTAAACCTTCTACAACTTTTTCAACTCCTATGATACATGTCATCGATTTTGAAAATTGAATTTTTTTTAAATTATTCGATTAAAAAATATTTTAATGTACAATTAAAAAATAATTACAGAAAAATAACAAAAAAGAAATTTTTTTAATAATCTTAATAATAAAGTAAAAATTATTATTTTAAAATCAAAAATTTATTCTTTAAATAATAATGAAAATAAATTTCTTTTTTATAAAATGCAAAAAGAATATAATTAAAAAAATTTTTTTCAGCTTTATGCAATGTACACCCTCTCGTGTTTGCAAGTGGCATATGAATTTTTGAATCGCGAATGGATTTATTTAATTTATGGTGAACAGAAAAAAAGCAGTTATAAAACATTAAAAACCCGAATTGGTCATTTATATTGTTATATATTGAATTTAATAAATTCTAAATATCACAATGAATGGTGTTCAAAGGATAATTATAAATTTTTAATTATTATTACAGTCACGAGTCTTGGAATTCTGTAATATACAAAATTTTTTTATTAATTATTATTATAAAAACTAAAAAAAAAATGTTTTTTTATATTTTATTTATATATTTGTTGAAAAATTCATATCCCTTTTTTAGTTATATAATATAATTCTTTACAGTTTTACAACTTACAAGGTAATGAAAATTTTACACTCGCCAAAAAATATAAAGAATATTATGAAATCACAATGGCTAAGATATAAAAATTCCAACAAGATATCTTTTACTTTTAATGAGAATAATAATAATAATAATGAAAGAGCTCAAATAACAGATGATTTTCCCAGTGGGACATCTTTAACTGCCATTGTAAAACCGACAATTCGAAATGGCAAAATAAAAAGTTAAGAACCGAAAAAATGCAATTTCTTATATCAAAAATTAATAAATATTATTTATTCTATTTATTAATTTTATTTAGAAAATTTTTCACTTATTTTTTCAAATTTCTTATTATTATGTTATCTTTGTTTCTGTAGATCATAGAAATTTTGATAACGAAAACTCTTCAGATTCTGAAGTTAATGAATCATCAATTGACAGAATCGTGGTAAATAAATTAGAATTTATATTTATTATTTTTTTTAATGTAATTATTAATGTAATTAAATTTTTCAGAATTTAGATTTTGTAAAGCCTCTGAAAAAATGTACTTCATCGCTACGTGTTGTAACGAGTAAAGATTCTTTAAATGAACAACTTTTTGATAAATGCAAAACTAATAATTCAAAATCAGAAAATCAAAAGAATAAAAAAGAAATAATTTCAAATCTAATCAATAATAATAATAATAATATGACTTTTGGAGTTCGAGATACGAGTTCAGTTTTTGAAGTTGATGATTGTGTGTCATTAATACAAGATTCAATTAATCCTTATCAGTGTTCGATGTTCACATCACCTGACACAGTAAAATACAAAATTTTATTTTTATCTAATCTCAAATGTAATGTTTTTTTTTCATTTCATTTTCCTAGAAATATTATCATGGAAAAAAACATGATGATGATAATAATAAAGCGATCATTTATTATTAATAGCATTCAATTTGTAAAAATTCCTCTTATGTTTCGGGACATTTTGTGGAAAATTTTCCTGATCTCGATTTGTCACCAATACCAAATATCACGCCAATAAATAACAATTGTCAACAATCAAAAATCGAATTTAATGATAAGGAAGTCACGCACTTAAAAGTAGAAAAATTTAATTGTTTTTTTTTTTGTTGCCAAGGGTAACAGAATAAAAAAAATTCTAATTTCACAGGATAATGAACAAAGTCATGAGAAAGATTCACTCGACGATGAAAATAGAAAAAATTTATCGAATTCAACTCAAAGTGTAAAATGTTTAGAAAAATCGTCAGATTTTTATTTCAGTTGTTGGGATTTTAAATCATTTTTAACGCCAAATGTGAAAAAAAGTAAAATTCCAAAACTTAATTTAAATGCAGAAGAAGAAGAATTACATCTAACGAAACAAAATGCACCTGCTTCATCAGGTATTAAAAAGAAAATTAAATAAATTTTTAGAAATAGATGAAAATAAAAAATAAATGATAAACACATCAGAAATTGACATTTGAAGGATCAAAAATTCCAATTCCTTCGAGAAAATCGAATGTTTTTTCAAAAGACGAATCAAATGAACATTTAAAAAAATCAGAATTATTAATGAGAATCAATAAAAATAAAGGTATAATGAATTAATTAATATTCAAGAAAAAAAATATCCTCTTAATTTGTTTCCAAATTCAAAATAATAGATGACAATTTACGCTCGGGAGAATCGGAACTTTCTTTAGAAAAATTTGTGCAGCTGGAAATTTCAACAGGATGCTGCAATCTCAATCAACAATCATTTAAAAGACCTGAAAAATTCTAAAAAACAAAATTTGTTGAAAATCTTTTTTACTTCTTTTTCTTTGGAATTTTTCAAATACATAGATAACAATACCAAGAAATACGATTGTAAATTTGTGAATAAACACTTATGAAATTCAATAATAAAAACATATTAAATCTTCATAAGAATGATAGTTTTTATTGTGTACATACACTGAATCACTTATTAAAAGTAGTTTACAAGAATTTCATAAATTCTACTAATAGATTTTCCCCCGAAAAAAAGACTACAAGCAAAAATTGGACTATTTACAATTTTTTTTTTAATATTTAAATGTCAAATCACAATTCTAATGTCAAAAAAAAAGTATTTTCAAGAATATTATGCACATGAAGACATTAATAAATTTCATTCTTTGCCAATTTTTGTTCGTCTCATCAATTTGAAAAACAATCATTCACTCAATTATGCAAAAGATCTATAAAAAATCTCTTATTCATGAATAAATTAAAAATTTAATATAGAAATATTTTTCAAATTCAAATACAAAAGAAAATTCACTCACACAGTTAAACTGGAATGTTTGTTTCGTTCTTTTGGTATTTCTTGTTCCATTAATTTTATAATTTTGATACAATTTATCAAAATTTATTTAATTTATAAATAACGATGATAAATTATACAATTATATAATATGTAATTATTTATAATAAATAAGTAATTATACAATATTATATTGTATAATTATTAGGATAAAATACAGTGAAAGGAACAAAATTAAAAGAAAATAGAAGTTAGTCCGTTATTGGCTTTGTGTAGCTGCCGTTAAAAAATATATATATGTATATATATTACCTACTTTCGTTGAAATCATATTAAAAATATATCACTTATTCCGTTTGGTACAAAAAAAAGAAGAAAATTGTGCCCTCACATTATAAAAATATGACGAAACACACGTGTCAAAATAAAGACTATTTATGTGGCAGTTGATTAAATCTAAAGAATACTGAAACTATGCACTTTTCTTTAAATGCTCAGTACTGTTTATCTTAACAAAATCATATTTACTGGTTTTTTTTTAAATTTGTTCCTAAAGCATTGCCTATTGATCTAAAAATACCAGCTGTCCATACCTCAAATATTACTATTCGTTTGCATTTGCGACGAATCAATTGAATATCTTCTCTCTTGTTGTGTACTTTTAAGCCATTGTCTATGCTCACAAAGATAAGGATACAATGGTATCACCATTACACTTATATCATCAACAGATGCAATTGGCAATAATGTCTCGTCAGTTTCATCTGGATTTTCCGATTTTCCACGCCACATACGACCAATTAATTTCCCCCTTGCCGCTTGTACTAATTCTTGTGCTCCCATTGTTAATCTAAAATTATCCCAAAAAAATGAAATTTTAATTAAAAACCTAATTTCAAATTTATATTTAATTTAAATTAAATAAAGTAAATTAACCTATACTCTAGAGATGGTGTATCGGGAGCTAATGTTTTTCTAAGAATATTTGCAGCATCATTATCAGTGACAACATCCCATAATCCATCAGTAGCCATAATAACACAATCCCTTTCGCTTAAATTATAATCCTCTAATTGAAATGATTGAATTTCAGGTTGCGAGGATAAAAATGGTTTAATATTTACTCCTGTATTTACTGCCTTTAGGCCATGATCACCAAATCCCCTTGTCACTCCTATCGTTCTCATCAATCGACACTATCAATTTTGAAAAAAACAATAATAAAATCAATTAACAAATAATAAAAATAGAAAAAAAATATTCTCACCCTTTTTCCATTGCCGGAAATAAGTGGAAACCTTAAATCACGCTGAGTTAAAACTTTATAAGACCAGCCTGTCATATAAGGTTCCCTATATAAAATCATAGATCCCAAATCTTTTTGTAAAGGCCGTTTTCTAAATTCAAGAGAAGTAAAATGACCTTTTAATAAATCATTCCCCTTTAAATAACCCAATGCTCGAATACGATTTGATTCCGAATCTGGAGTATGATCTCTTGTTAAAGCTCGTTCACTATCGCCAAGAACCAATATTGCCCTAATTAAATGAAATATATTCAAAATTAATAATAAAGCCTAAATTATAATTCATTAAAAATTTATCAAAAATTAAAAAAAAACCTGGAATCCCCAGCACCAGCGGCATACAATCGTCCATTAAGAAATAAAATTGAAATCGCCGTACAACCACCACCTCCATTTTGAGCTTGAATTTCAACCATTTGATCCATTTGTCTATATGCTAATTCTATTGCGCCAATAACTAATTCTCTGCCTTTTACTAAATCATCTTCCTCCTCACTCAAAAGAATATTCTCCGGTATTGCGAGTAACCTCTCCTAAAAAGAAAAACAATTTTCCAAATTCCTCTCAAAAAAAAATTGAAATTATTTTTCTATTCTATTTCAATACTCACAATAATAACTCGATGAAGATATAATCTAGAAGTGAGTGCAACTTGATATCCGGCATGTCCATCAAACATGGAAAATATAACATAAGGTAATGATGTATTTGAATCGGATAATTTTAAGTCACCACGCGTTGCCGTTGCTTGATCTTCATTCCAGGTACTTTTACCTGCATTTATACATTCTGCATAACCAGCACACCAGGGTAAACGACTCAAATCTCGTGGAACCATTATCGGTCTAACACGATGATCAGCACTAACCTGTTTGTAAAAAATTAATTAAACCTCCCAACTCTATCATTAAAATAATCATTATAGTAATGTATATAGATTAATAATTTAAATTCCTACCTGTATTTCATCATTGGTAAGACCTAAAAAGCTGGGCCTACTATAAGGTTTACATTCCACTTCTAACACTAAATTTGAATTAATATAATCCGTAACTGCATCACTTTCTGAATCGTGAGGATATTGTAAACCCAATTCACTAACACCAACAGTGCTCATTAACGCAGATTTAAATCGGCTCAGCATATTGATAGGCTTATTTAAAAATGTTTTTCAATATGAAAACTTTAATGAAATGTTAAGTAAAATTCGATATGAGAATGTCAAATGAGGTTATTTACATTTAGTAGGTAAACAATTTTTAAAATAATTTATAAAACATTCTGATAAATACAAACCACGTGTAATAATCACTGTTCTTTATATATGAATAATCCTTTTTTATCTTATCACACACACACACACATAAACTAAACTTTTTTTTAGTTGTTGTTAGATTTTTATAGGTTAACTGTCAGCTGTCAGAGTTAAAAAATACTTTTTTCCTAGTCTAAAATTTACATACTTTTTTTGAAATTGTTGACGTTTCGTGTTTTATTGATATTTATAATCAAATAAATATCCATATCTCAATAATAGAGATATTTTCTTTAACTTTAAAAATTAAAACAACAAGAGGTTATTTTGACAAGTGCTGGCAGATCAGCTGCCACGGGGATACCAACTTCAAAAAACTAAATTCACGGCGGGAAAATTGAGACTATGTAAATTAAAAATATTTATTTTCATTTACAAATAAAACAATAAAAATGTTTTAAATAAACATATTTATAAATTTCTTATAAAAAATTATGTATTTACCTTTTAAATATCACTTTTGTTTACAATGAAAATTAAACGTCAATGTTGACAGCTCTGCGCGCACGTGCAAGTAACGCATGCGCATGATAAACGTCAATGTATGAGTTCATTTTTAAGGTTATGTTTATATAAATAAATAAATGTCAAAGAGTGTTGTGAATGATTTTTGTTTATCGTTTAATTAATTTAAGTGAAAAATTAAAAAAGATTGAGTGTAAGATTGTTTTTGCATTTATGCAATAATGTCTGAAAGAAGATCAAAAATGAAACCTCCACGAAGATCTAGTCAGGTAATGATTTTTAAAATACTTTTTCCATTGAGTTATAAATTTATATTGTTTTAAAAAAACAAAATAAAAATATATTTTTTTAATAAAAATAAAGATACTTTTTTGTAATATTATAAATTATCCTTTTTTTCAATAATTTAATCTCAATTTTGGAAGTGTTTTCTAAATTTTTAAATAACATTTTTTATTCTAATTATGATTCTTTTTTTAGGATTCTGAATCAAGTTCCAGTTCTGAAAGTACTTCCTCAGCATCCTCAGAAGAGGAGGAAATAGATGCACGTGATTTAAAGTCGATTAAAGAATATTTGAATGATCGTCGAGAACTTGCTTCACAACTTTTTAAATCAGTTAAACTTGAGAAAATTCGTATGATGTTGCCTCAAACATTAAAGGTATTTATTACTTGAAGTTTGAAAAGAAATGAACAAAATGTAATTTACTATTTTTTTGATAGAGCTTGAATTTATATGATCTCGAAGAATACTGTGGAAACGAATTAAGTGGAATGTCGAGAAAAAGAATTCTTAGCATTATAAATGGTCAACGAATGGCGGAATCTTCAGATACTGACGAAACAGATGATTCTGGTAATATTTTGTTTTTCTTAAATTAGAAGAAAAACATTTAAGAAGATTTTACTATTATTATTATTAAACAAATCAAAATAAAACATTAAAACAAAAAAAAAATATAAAAATAGTTGAAGAATTTAAAAATAATTTGAAAACAAATTTTTTTATTTACAGGGCCTTCGCTTGAGATAATATCAGACACTGAGGAATGGTTAACAGACGATGACGTTGTGATAAAAGAAGAAAATACATCTGACAAATCAAAGCGAAAAAAACAGACGGACAAAGTAAAAGGAAAATTAAATCCCCAGTCGAAAGATAAAACAAAATCGAGTAAATCAACTATTGTTAATCAAGCAAAAACTAAAAAATCAAGTGAAATTAATGTTAAAATTGAAGGTGAAAAACCAGAAGCAAAAGAAGGAGAAAGTCTTCTTGATCTTCTTGAACTTGAAATGAGAGCACGAGCAATCAGGGCCTTAATACGCAAAGAAGAAGACATTATACCAAATAAAAATACCGTAAATACAAGTACATCTAAAAATAATTCAACTACAACATCAACAACAAATGCAAATGCATCGACCAGTAAATATGTAGTTCAAGAAATGCAACAAATCAGTGTCACACTAAAACAAGGAAGTGGATTAGACGATGACGTTATGTTGGTTATTCAACCAGCTCCGACTATAGAATTATTGTCAAGTGAAAGCGAAACAGAAAAAGAAAAGAACGAAAAAGAAGAGCAAGAACAAAGAGAAAACAAAAAATTAGAAAATGAAACGAGAAAAGAGAATGAGACAACAGAGAAATCGAACGATGAACAAAATCAAGAAAAAGGCGAGTATAGTAAAAGAATAAATAAAAGACTGGAAAATGAACGAGGAACCGAAACTACTCACAGTACAAGTACAATTGGCGATGAACCAATAGAAATTCCCGATGATGAAGATATAAAATTAGAGGATGATTCATCGAATAATAAAAAAATGAAAAAATTACCAAAATCATCCGAGAATATTGAAAAAATTCAATCTGATCAAATTACTGAAATTGATCACACTGAAAAAACAAATCAATTCCCAGCTAAATCTCCCGATCATTCAAATAAACTAGACGAAAAAGCACCGAAAATTATAGATGAATTAAAAATAAATAAATTGGAAGAAACTAAAATTGATGAAATTGAACAGAAGAAAAATTCCGATGAGGAGAAAATAGAATTAGAAAATACAAATTCAGAATTAAAATGTGCCGAAAGTGAAAAACAAAAATCCCCTGAAAAAGAATTGGAAGATGGTGAATTAGCTTCCGACAGTGATTCAACAGAAGACACAGAAATAATCCAACGAAACAATAAAAAAGGTACAAGCAAACAATTTAGAAAACGTAGAACAAAAAATTCTCCAAAAGAAATTGAAAATTCAGAACAAAGTGATGTGATTAAATCGGATGATGATTCTAAATTATGCAAGAAGATTAAAGACACTATTAATTCTCAAAATTTAGAGAATGAAAATAAACAAAATCTCCCTGAAATATCTGACAAAAAAGAACAAATTGAAATTAAACAAACACAGCCCGTTGAGGGTGAAAAAAATCAAGACGACATGGAGGAGATCATTGATCTCGATGATTATCCCGACGATATGGATGATTTAGACAATAATCAAGAGTCAAAAATTCCAAATTCCACATCCGCAAATTCGATGGATTCAAAAAATGATAATAAAACAGAGAAATCAAGTAATGAGAAAAGTGAACCTCAGGAAACATGGGCTTCTCGTTATTATAATACAGATGACGTTCAGAATGTAATCAAAGAATCGAAAATACAATCAGAAATTCGTAAAAGATTACGTGAAAGACAACGATTGAGTAAATTGACTAATTCACCAAATGCAAATAAAACGGAAAGTAATTCACCGAGTGATATTAAAATTGAGGAAGCACAACAAAAACCATTGGGATCAGTTGAGGAATATTTAGCATTAAAAGCCGCAACTATTGCTGCTGCTGCCGCTGCTGAATCAAATGTCAATGAAAAAAATAAAAAATCACATCATCGTAAACGCGATAAAATTAAATCACATAATTCAACTAAGAAAAAATCCAAGTCTGATAAAAAATCATCAAAAAATGATGAAGAAAACTTTGTAAAAACAAATGCAAATTCAAATATTGAATTAAAATCCAATTAAAATATTTTATACGATTTTTATCTTCAAAAGTATTTGTGAAAAATGAAAATAAAGTCGTTTTTTTTGCTGAAAATTGTCAAGAGAATTTATTTCAATTTGATAAATTTTGTCTTTTCAATTGATAAACAAAAAAATTATGTTTGCAAAATTTTATTATTAATTTTGCTTTTGAAAATTATTTTTTTATGATTTGCATTAAAAAAAAATCTAAATTATCGACCAAGAATAAGGAACAAACTGAAAGTTTGCATTTATGGCTTTCTTCTCATAAAATTTAACGATGTAGATCATTTTCAAATATATAGTTTAATTGAAAGGAAAGTTTTGAGTTGCGTGTGACGAAAAAATCTACATAAAATAACGAATCGTAAATCGATCAAAAATATATGTTCCTGATTATGCAGTTAGACATTTTAGTGCACATATTATGTGTATCCTATAAATGTCCAACTAGCATAATATACAAAATGTACCCTAATAAAATGTTTGCATAATACTTAAAACGTAATAATTTAATTTAATTCTAATTATAATTCTGTTAAATAAAAATTTTTGTTAAATAAAATTGCCTTTAAAAAATAGAACAATTTTAATTAAACACATTTTTTTTTATATTTCTTCATTTAATTATTATTGGAAATATTTATCTTAAAATTACATTTAAAAAAAAAAAATTATTTACAATACTGAAAATTGTATTTTTTAAAAATGTTTACTGGCCGCGGATTTTTTTTTATTCTTAATATTATATATGTGGTCTTATTTTTTCACAATCAAATTTATCAAGTTCGAAAGCGACAATTTTGGTTATTTTTGATTTTACCATTTCAATTATTTCATTTTCCCATTTTTTTGAAATCCATGTGGCTAGAGACGATGCTAATGAATTAAATGGCGATAAACCTGTTACATTAATCGTAATTTGTCCATAGTTTACAATTTTAAAATATTCCATTTTTGTTTTACATGGTTTTGAATTATAATCAACTGAAACTTTTCCCTCTATTGATATTCCGTCAATTTTCGCCGATATCACACCATCAAGTTTTATAATTCCAAATTTCAACTAAAAAAAAATTTTTTAATTCAACAATTATCGTTTAATTAAATAAAAAAAATTAATTTTGTAAAACTCTAAAGGAATATTAATATTAATTTTTAATATTAATAACGTACTTTATATTGATTATATTCAATTAAAGCCTTGGTTAGTCCAAAACCACAGGATGCTGAAAATTTGAGGCCATCACGATCAAGAAGAGCATCCGTTGTTCTCATAAGAGTTGTTATGTCACTAAAATTATTTATCATTTGGTTAATTAATGAATCTTGTTTTATTTTTTAAAAAATAATAATTTCAACTACCTGAAATAACCATCTGTTGTTGTAAAACGACCATTTGTTTCAAAAATACCAGAACCAACTTTAAATTTTTGATCGATATTTGGAATTTTTATCATTTCATTGTGATTTTTTTTTAAATGATTTATAATTTCTTTTAAAACAAGATCTACAATATGATTGATATATGATTGAAAATGAAATGAATTTGAATAAGGCTCATGTGCTGATAGGCCATTTTGATTTTTTTCATCAGTAGAAATGATAAATTTCGAAAAATAAGGAATTGTAATTTTTTTAAAGAACTCATCGATCATACAAATTTCTGCACGTTTTTGTATTTCATCTTCCACTTGTATTGGAATATTCCAGCTGTGAAAAATATTCATTTTTACTTTCATTACTTTTATTTTTTTTTTTTTTTAATTCTCACCTCTCGTTATTATTTTTTATTAAAAATATATCGCAGTATTGAAATGTTCTCGTATCCTGTTTGTAAATTAAAAAAAAAAAACTTGTTTAATAAATTAAAATAAATTACTAATTAAATTTTTAATTAAAATTGATATTATTCATTATTATACTCGCCTCTAATTTTGCAGTGCCAAGTACTTGATAATAAGATGCTTTATCAATTCTTTGAGATTGTTCCACAGAATTGTCGACAATTAAGTCTCCTGATTGCAAAAATTTTTTTGGTTGCTAAATATTATTTTAAAAAAATCCCAATTATAATTTAATAAAAAAAATTTTAAATTCCCTCCTACCTTTAAAAATAATTATTGTATCATTCAGAAGAATATCGACTAATTTTGTATTTGAATAAGTGAAAACACGAAATTTGTCCATTGAAAACAAAATAGTTAATTCACCTTTAGAAATTCGAACATCAGTACCATTTGACATATTTATGTCAAAATCCCATACATTATGGCAGTCTAATAAAAATAATGTTTGAATTAAAAAAATATTTTATTTTGTTTAGAAAGAAAAAAAAAAAAATTTTCTCTTGAAAATATATGTGATTTTTATAAAATCATTTTTTGAGAAAAATTGTGATAAAAAGTAATTTTTGGCAAAAAAAGGAAAAAAAAAATGATAAGAAATTTGTGAATTGTTACAAAGATCGTATTTTTGGGAGTTAATCTGTTTGAAATTAAGGAGGGTGCCTGAAACATCGAAAGTGCCAATCACATGCCACTTCAAACGCCCGTATATAGAAGGCCCTTCTAATCATCCAGATCGGTCTGAATCAAGCGTCAATCAATTCTTCTCGTTGTGCAAACTAATCGAATAGAAACCGAGTGTAGAGGTGAATTTTATATAATCCTTTGTAAAGTCATATCTATATTTTTTGTTCAATTTTTTGTCACTTGAATAATCATGAAAATAAATATATCAAAAAGTAGCTAAATTTTTTCTTTAAAAATAAATTTAAAGAATTCAAAATTTATTAATAAAATTTTGGTTTGTAAATTTTTGTCTTTTTTTTGAAAGTAATTAAAAATTCTTTTCATAATCAAAAAAAGGTTTCAATATTAATAAGTCTTTTTAACGTAAAGTGCAAATATTTACATTTTTTAAAATGTATCATTCGCAAATTTTTTTATATTTCTATACCGTAACATGAATAACCCTTTCTGATTTTTCTACTCTTGCATCGCACGAATTTACATTGCTACATTTTTTTTTTTACAGAAATGTCATTTTCTTTCATGCAAATTTATTTTTTAATTGATGGAAAAAAATAATTTGTTATAAGAAACGAAGATAAATAATTTTTTTACTTTTTTAAAATGAAATTTAAAAATTAATTTTTTAAAATTAAAATTAATATATTATTAAGTTATTAGAATAATTAATTTTTTTTTTGGAAATAAAATTTTTTTTCTCAATTGAAATTATAGATATTCTTGTCTTAATATGTAATAATTGATATTCTCAATAATTGAATGTTATTTTTTTCTAATCATATATAAGAGGAGAAAGTTTTTAGTGTAATAATTTATTTGTTTCATTTTGTTTATCACGCGCAGGTGAAATTATTAGGAATTTCAAATGTGTGTATTTTCAGTGGTAACGAGAGTGTAATTATTATAAATAAATTGTGTTTAACTCTTTTTCTCTCTCTCTTTTGAATTTATGAGTTCCCCTCAAGGAATATTCGCGATAATATATATAATAAATAAAATGGATCTCTGATTGGATTTAAGGTGAAAATCTCTCTCCTCAAAAGGAAGGAAAGAGAATATTTAGAAAAAGAAAAATTTTTCCTAAACGAATGTATAACAGAAATCACGAGTTGCTTTATGAGTGTAATTACATGCTTATAAATGTATATAATCGTGTATATATATATATATATATAATACCTATAAACACACGAATAATAATCTCACTAGAATATGGTGTCTAATGAAATTGCCAAGTCTTATGCGATCAAGGAAGTAGGTGCGTCTAATATGAACACGTAATCGGAATGCACCTCTGAATGCCTTAACTGGCGCATTATTTTCTATGGTGTTAATAATTCCACCATTACGACATATTTTATTCACTCAAATTGTAATTTAAAAAAAAAAAAAATTTATAACAACTTTTCTCTTAAATGAAAATTATAAATATATTTTGAAAAATTATTTTTTTTTTCTTTCCATAATTAATATTTCAATGAAAAATAAAAATTAATAATTACTTGATTTTTATAATACTATTTTCTATAGAATCAAAATTTTAATTTAATTTATTTCTTGAAAATTTATAACAATGAATTTGAAAAATATTTTTTTCCTATTTGTTCAATTTTTTTTTTTTTTCTTAAAGAAAATAAGACTCACCAATTTTTTCTAATGATGAGAAAACTAATGGCAGTGAGAATATAAGAAGAAAATAAAGTATCATTTTTAATCTGTGAAAAAAGTTTATTATTAAATAATTTAATATATTTTTTGTAATAAATTTTAATTTAATTTATAATTATAATAATAAAATAATAATATTAATAATAAAAGTAATAATAATAGTAATAATACTAAATCATTATAATAAAAAAGAAATTAATTCTGCTGTGGAAAATATTTACTTTTCAATTACTTATCAGTCGCTATGCAGATTAAATTTTTTTCTACTACGTCACTATAAATATATTGGAAGTATCAATTTTCAACAATTTGTATAATTATGATTTATTTTAATTTTACTGCAATTATTTATTTATAAAATAATAAGACATAATTTTCTATGTAAAAAATAGTAGACAAATAAATAAATAAAAATAAATAAATTATATAATTTGAAAAAAAAATTTAAATAAGAATTTAAAAAAATGTATAAAATTTTTTAATTAAATTTTCTTAAAATTTATTAACTTTTGTTTTGGATTTTTCAGTTTAGAAAAAATAAAATTTTTTTATGAGGAATGGAATTCATATACAACGTTAAAAATATCTGATTGCAAATATATATATATATATATATATATATATATATACAGTGTGAGAAAAAAAGAGAGACACAACTCTCTGAAAAATGAGTCGAGCTAGAACATCCAATTACTTTTATTTATAATTATATATACACTCTCACCTTTAAAGTAATAAACTGTTTTTAATACTATATATATAAATTTTACATTTTAACTTAAAAAATACAAAAAAAAAATATTTAATTAATCTTTAATTATTTTTTCCAATAATATTTTACAAAAATATTTTCTAATTTGTAAAAATTAAGTCTGTACTATTTTAGTTATTATTACTATTATTTTTTTTTTAATTATTATTATTATTAAAATTAATTATTTTTAAAAATCATATCCTTCAATTATTTTTCCTATTTTTTATTATTATTTTTATCTAACAAAAATGGAGGCAAATATAGAGTAAAATTTACGCACCTTAAAATTTGTCACACTTTCCGCGACAGAATTATCAATTTATTTGTGAATTTGTGATAAAATCAAAGATGTTTTAAATATAAAGTGTGAGTACCAATATAGATATATAAACGTTGCGTAAAAATCACAATAAAAAAAAAAAAAATGTAAAAACACTTCACGATGCTGTCACGCTTAAGCAAACTATTTGTTTCCTTACAATGAACTCAATCTATATATCTGACATTCGACAATGAGCATTGTGACTCATTTAGAAGCTATAATATATATCTACTCCGACGAGGTTAGTGTCAAGAGAAGGAAACGACATTGATAAAAGACTCATCTATATCAACATATATAAAGATTTGAAAAATAAACAGAAGCTGAGAAAATTTCATTTTAAATTTTTTCGAATATATTATCGCTCAAAGACGATAAAAAAAAAAGTATATATTTTATCTCAATTCTTTGTTTTGCCCAATTTTTGAAATAAAAAAAAAATTACCATAACAAGAGATCGATAATAAAAAGAAAAATTTAGAATCATCTAAAAAAAAAAAAATCATGTTCAAAAAGGGATAAGTTGAAAATCCTATGTGAAAAATATGCAGGATATGTTGATAGTAGGCAACCCGATTTACACGAATCCATGAAAAAGACATTGCGGCTGCATATCAAGATATGTACTATATCTTTATGCTCTTCCGAAAACTACTCTTCTTTTGCGATAAGAAAATTTAAAAAAAAAAAAAAAAAAATGTCGAAAACTTAATCGTCAACCAAATAGGCAAACAAGATAAAATCATTTTTTCTCCTTTTAAAGAAAAATTTAATAATAATAGTAATAACTATACTAATAGTAATAATAATAGTATACTAATAATAAAAAAAAAATTTTTTTAAAAATAATAATAAAAAAAAAAAATAAAAAAAAAAAATAATAATAATAATAAATTTACATTTAATAAATAGTTAATATTTACAATTCGGTATTAAAATTTAATAATAATAGTAATAACTATACTACTACTACTAATAATAATAATAATAATAATATACTAATAATAAAAAAAAATAATAATAATAAATTTACATTTAATAAATAGTTAATATTTATAATTTTGGTATTAAAAAAAAAAATTGAGTAACATTTTTTTAAAAAAAAAAAAAAAATGTTTTTAATTTTTTTGTGATAATTGAATTGAAAGGACAATATGTAGATGATAACAGTTGTGTGAATATTTATTGTTTATAGCGCAAAATTGTCAGTAGTATGTGTTTCATTATAAATGAATAAATGAAATCAGTTGCACCAATTTAGTGGATCGTAATTTTCGACCGAAGCATGCAAGGGGTATACGATTCCGTTTTAATCTTCACAGAAACGTGCCATAAGACATTAATGGGTTGTAAAAGCAGGTCGCGTTTTCTACGTGTAAAAATATCGTTAAAAAAAAAAAGCCCTGAAATAAGCGACGATAAAAGAATTTACCCGCAGTGTAATTAAATCCACGTGGAGGAGGGGGGGGGGGGGTGATACGAACCAATACCCATTAGTCTAACACATCGTCAAAAAAAAATGGGGGGGGGACCACATACTTAATTATAACTGTTATTATTTTTATTATTACTATTATTATCACTGTTATTTTTACTATTATGATGATTTATTATATTGTATAAAATTATATAATATATTATATTATTATTTTATTATTATTATTATTACTATTATAAAATATAACATTATTAATATTATATTTTATGAAAAGAAATTTTTTTTTTCAAACTTTCCTCGCGTAGGATTTTCATTTTTTTTCCTCCTCCTCTTTTATAGAAAATTACTTCTTACACAATGATTAAGAAATGTGATACACGTTTCATTTTCTTCGAGTAAAAGGCTGATTCATGAAAAAGATAAGCTTGTTTTCTTCATGTCAATGTTCTTCGAAAGCCTCTCTCTCTCTCTATATATATATATATATATTTTGCAATATATATGCAATATTTTATATACTAATTAATTAATAATTTTATTTAGCATAAATAAACATTAGCATTTTTGTTTTTTAATTTTATAATTAATTGCGTCTAATTATTTAATTATCCACTGTTTACACTTAATTAGATTTAGAGATAATATTATCGAACGATTAAAATTTAAATTATTTATAATTAAATCTAAAAAAAAATACCAAAAATTAATTATTAAATGAAAAATATTTTTTTTTCTAATCAAAATAATTTTTGTTATTTAGAAATAAACATGTTTTATCTTACCATGAAGTAGAGGACTATGTATAATAAACTGTAACTCACCTGAAACAAAAAAAAAGAAGAAACAAGTTAGAAAAGTCATACAAAAATAATTATATTTTAAATGAAAAAAAAATTTATTTCGTTTAAGTTAATATTTATTTAATTATTTGAATCAAAGAAATTTTTTTTCCACTGTAACAATAATAATAAAATAAAAAAAAAAAAAAAATGAGTAATTTAGGGAAAATTTGAAAAGTGTTCTCGCGGATAAATGGATGAATATATGTAAACAACTAATTAGAATAATTAATATAATTTTCAAGTTATGAAAATGCGGTAAATTGCTTTATTTTCCATATATATATATATAATCATTGGAGATAAGTTTCCACAAGCATCAAAAACATATTTGTAAATTGCATTCAGAAATTGCTCGCACGTTGCGTATCATATGTTGCATTATACACGCTCCACCTATAAACTCGGGAACTATTAGAGCGCATAAACTGCACAACTTAGTGTTACACAAACACATGCATGTAATTAACTCAGCTTACAACAAAGTTTAGAATAATTTTTTTTTTTTCAATTTTTCCCCCTCAAATTAATTTCCAATATTTACATGCAATTTGTATAATACAAATAATAAAAATTTCCCTATTTACTCCATTTATGTAAATATAATAATTTTATACAAAGTATTTTACAGGGTTTTTTTTTTTTTTTAAATAATTTTTTGTTATTTTTTTATATAAAAAATATATATAAATATATACAGTTGGGAAAAAAAAGGTGAAATAAATATGTGTGACAAGTTGTAACAGGTACGACTAATGACGATTGACCAATTCCGTCTCACCTCCGTAGGTTACAAAAAGAAGGGGAAAAAAAAATTAAAGCAATAACTAGATTAATACAGAAGTGAATGTCTACATAAATTCATTAAGGCTTTATCATTTTTATAATATGTATTTATCAACTTAGACTCCTTTCATTGCACAAGGTTTGGTGTGTGAAACTTGTTGCAATGCATAGAGATTTACAAACATTTTTAATGTCAAGTTTAGAATATTGATTGGCTCCAATTGACGTCATTAATGAACTAGTCAATTTTCATATATGGTTCAATATACCTATGTGTGGTGTAATTTTTGCTAACGGTTTAAGAAATTAAAAAAAAAATGTAAAATTATCGTCTGACTAAAATTGAATTTTTCTACTTAAAAAAATAATGTAAAGACAATGTTTTGTTCTACTGCAACTGATTTACTATTGTCTGGCTAAAACTGTTTTTTTCTACTGATTGTAAAAATAAGGAAAGTTTACTTTTACTACTGGGACCAAAAATTCAGTTATGTATGACTAAAATTGAGTAATTTTACTGATATAAAATCAGAAGTTGGAAATTTTCTGTCTGACTGAAAGTGACTTTCACTACTGGTACCAAAAATTCAGTTATGTCTGACTAAAATTAAATTATTTTACTGATATAAAATCAGAAGTTGGAAATTTTCTGTCTGACTGAAAGTGACTTTTACTACTGATAACAAAAACTATAACTGTAAACTGACTGTAAAAATATGGAAAGTCTGACTGAAATTTACTCTTACTACTAGTATCAAAAATCCAGTTATGTCTGACTAAAATTGAGTAATTTTACTGATATAAAATCAGAAGTTGAAAATTTTCTGTCTGACTAAAAGTGACTTTTACTACTGATAATAAAAACACAAGAGTTCAGAAATGTTCTGTCTGAACAAAACATACTTTTACTACTCCACATCAAAATTTTGCGAATTTTTTTTTTATTATGTCTGACTGAAACTGAATTTTTCTACTGACTGTAAAAATATTAAAAGTCTGACTAAAATTTATTTTTACTACTGGTACCAAAAATTCAGTTATGTATGACTAAAATTGAGTAATTTTACTGATATAAAATCAGAAGTTAGACCTTTTCTGTCTGACTGAAAGTGACTTTCACTACTGATAATAAAAACTGTAACTGTAAATTGACTGTAAAAATATGGAGAGTCTGACTGAAATGTACTTTTACTACTGGTACCAAAAATTCAGTTATGTATGACTAAAATTGAGTAATTTTACTGATATAAAATCAGAAGTTGGAAATTTTCTGTATGACTGAAAGTGACTTTTACTACTCAACATCAAAATTTGAGTTTTTTTATTTTGTCTGACTGAAACTGAATTTTTCTACTGACTGTAAAAATATTAAAAGTCTGACTGAAATTTACTTTTACTACTGGTACCAAAAATTCAGTTATGTCTGACTAAAATTGAGTAATTTTACTGATATAAAATCAGAAGTTAGACATTTTCTGTCTGACTGAAAGTCACTTTTACTACTGATAATAAAAACTGTAACTGTAAACTGATTGTAAAAATATAAAAAGTCTGACTGAAATTTACTTTTACTACTGGTACCAAAAATTCAGTTATGTCTAACTAAAATTGAGTAATTTTACTGATATAAAATCAGAAGTTGGAAATTTTCTGTCCGACTGAAAGTGACTTTTACTACTGATACTAAAGACACAAAACCTTGAAAATATTCAGTCTGAACAAAACATACTTTTACTACTGAAAACAAAATTTTCACAAATTTCTGAATTCAGTCTGACTAAAACTAACTTTTACTACTGATTCTAAAATCACTTCAAAAATTTTCTGTCTGAACGAAACATGCTTTTACTACTAAAAATAAAAATAGGTTCTACTCCAATAAAACCTTATCTACAAAAAATTAAACTATACAGTTTTTATGAAAATTTTCTATTATTGTTTACAAATTTGTTTACAAATATTGTCTCACTTTTTCCAACAAGTACAAATCCACACACATATATATATATAAAGTGCAACAGTATATCCTTTCCCTTTTTTCTACTAACGCGAATTACGCGATTTTCGAGTAAACAGAAGCCATATAGCCCAGTGTTGTTCAGAATTTCAGGACAATAGTAATAATATCGTAACAGTTCGTGATCTTTTC